GTATTTAACCCAGCATTTTTTAGAGTGTAGATAGTGTTTTAAGAAATATAAACTCAGGCACATTGGAAAAACACTTCTGCAAAGTGATATTACATTATTTCTTGCATCTTTTGCTTTCAGACTAAAATGTGAAATGTCTGGGGAGTGGCACTAAAACTGCTTGCAATTTTCCAGGAAACAGATAAACACGAATCTGGCAATGTTTTATTATGTACATATGGTGGCAGTTTGGAAACTAAATATCTGGTGAGTGTGGTGCTAAAAGCTACACTAAACCCTATCCTAAACCTAATACAAACGTGAGATTAAAACACATTTTACTGAAGCAACCATTCCATTTTAGCTTGCTTTTACAAGTTTTTGAGCTCTTTTATCGTGTAATGCTGTACCAGGTGAGCTACGGAGTAAGTTTACTATGTCAGAAAAGCCATGGATATGAAGCTGGTTATGGTGATGCAAACCTCATTATGTATTAGTTTACAAATCATGCACTACGGAAAAGCGTTTTTTTGTTGATTTTAAGAGTCAAATTACCCCAAATGATAAAATGTATATTGAATATTTTAGTCTATGCTACTATAAAGGTTTTTCTGTTTTTCAAAGTGTTGATTTTTGGCGAATTGCATAGAAACCAACAGGGGTCAATTTGATTGTGGGCACAAAATTTGTACTTTCCAAAACACATTTATGTGTCAAAACTTTGCATGCAAATTCATGACCCTAAATGAGGAAAAAGTCACCACATTTCAAGAAGAAATACATTAAAGGGTCATGAAACCCCAGACTACTTTTTTCTAACTGTTGGAGAAAACTGGTTAATTTGAAGCTTTTTTGCGGGTTTAAAATCTACATCGTGTTGATGTCACAATTTGTGACGTGGCAAAGGACTATAGTACATCGATGACGCGTCGGTGTCTATTAAATTATTCATGAGACTGCGTGTTCTTATCCTATGAGAAGACACTTCGCTTAATTATTCACAACAGCATGTGCGGATTTGCTATGACAGACTGAGATCGCGCACATTGAGAGAAACGTTCAGGGATCGAAGAAGAGTGTTTGTTTTTGCTTTGTAATAAGAGTTCGGCACAAACGCGATTCATTCACTTGGTGAGCATAACCGTTTTTACAGCTCTGTGACACAACCCATCAAAAGGCTTATATAAACGCCACAGAATAAGCCTTAAAAGTTCTCAGAGGTGCAACAGCGCGTTCATATATATGTTTTCGATGCAGAGTGCAAATGGCTGTGCATTTATTTGTGTTTTTAATTCGATGGGAGCGAAATGAAACTGTCTGAACGCGAAGCTGTGTGTGTTGTCTGTCTCCCCTCTTCCCCCTCCTCCGCGCACCACGCCCACTTTTTTAGCATTTTTTAAAACTGTGGTGAGAACTAACCAGTGCTGAAACAGGGGGTTTCATGACCCTTTAATTAGTGTTTCGAGCTGAAATCGATATTTCTTTGAAAATGGACGCTATCTACAACTATAACTTGAATCGCTCATGTAAACTAAGGAGGATCTTTCGTTTTTCCCCCCTATTTTTTCGTTGTTTTGGATTAAAAAGTGGGATGCATTTTGAAGAGTGGACTTTTATCTTGAAATGTTGTGCTGGTGTTTCTTGGTATAGTCCGAGCTGACCAGAGCTATAGGCGATGAAACGTAAGTACTGCGTTCACTTGTACATGTTTTAATGGCCGGTCCTTCAGCATTTATGTTAACCCTTTCCTCTCTGGTGTATTGATTTAAAATCAAAACTCAGAACATGGATCTTGAGTGTTTTAGCTTCCAAATGATATATAGTTTATGATAGTTGATTGAATATTGTTTTAAAACAAAGGTAATAAATAGCACAGACACGCCTAAACACGCCCTTCCGGCCCGTGGGCGGGCTGGTGTGGGTTAACAGGTTAAATGTGGGTCAAATTGATCTGAACACAAAATGAGGGTTAAAGTGTGTTTGGAAGGCAGCTCACTAGGCTTTGTTTTTTAACAAAGCTGATGTCACATAACCCTTTCTAATTTAAGACATCTCATCAGCATCGAGGGACCAGCCCAAGCTGTTTATGTATAAATGCCCCATATGTTTTCAGTCATGTGAGGAGAGGAATTCCTCCACGTGTGCATTTTTAATTAGACCGAGTGTTTATGCTGTCCATGTGGGCGCCTGGGAACCTCCGTTCCTCCTTGAGTAGAGTTACCCGGTATTGCCACTGTGCTGCAGGTTAGTCAGGGTGAACACAAACTTTCCCCAAGTGTCCCATTCCACCCTTTCGTGCAAACCATTTAATCCTCTCGTAAGTGATTCCATATGAGACGTACAGGGTGGGATACAAACCTCCCCCATCCTCCCATTCACAGTAAACAGGCTGATCCCTGGCCTGATCTAGTAATATGGCCGATGCAAGGGTTAAATCAACATAGTATGTGGTGCTGGTCTTGAATTTCTACCCTCTGTGTTAGTTTATTGTGCGTTTAACTACCTAAACCCATCTCTCACCTCTGAATTCATTATAAGCCTGAGGATGTTGACCTCACTGTATGAGAACAGAACATAATCAACACACTGCCCTCGCTTCTATTGATATAATATAGATAAAGCCTTGCTCTGTATATTTAGCTTCAAAACATGCAACAATTGTGGCATTTATAAAGTACTTTAAATAATGTAATCTTATACTTAACCTTAAGTAGAAACAATGTTTTGAAGGTAATATATGTAAGACATAATTGACATTGGACCATATAATTATTGAAAACTTAATGCATGTAACACACATGGATCTTGAGTGTTTTAGCTTCCAAATGATATATAGTTTATGATAGTTGATTGAATATTGTTTTAAAACAAAGGTAATAAATAGCACAGACACGCCTAAACACGCCCTTCCGGCCCGTGGGCGGGCTGGTGTGGGTTAACAGGTTAAATGTGGGTCAAATTGATCTGAACACAAAATGAGGGTTAAAGTGTGTTTGGAAGGCAGCTCACTAGGCTTTGTTTTTTAACAAAGCTGATGTCACATAACCCTTTCTAATTTAAGACATCTCATCAGCATCGAGGGACCAGCCCAAGCTGTTTATGTATAAATGCCCCATATGTTTTCAGTCATGTGAGGAGAGGAATTCCTCCACGTGTGCATTTTTAATTAGGCCGAGTGTTTATGCTGTCCATGTGGGCACCTGGGAACCTCCGTTCCTCCTTGAGTAGAGTTACCTGGTATTGCCACTGTGCTGCAGGTTAGTCAGGGTGAACACAAACTTTCCCCAAGTGTCCCATTCCACCCTTTCGTGCAAACCATTTAATCCTCTCGTAAGTGATTCCATATGAGACGTACAGGGTGGGATACAAACCTCCCCCGTCCTCCCATTCACAGTAAACAGGCTGATCCCTGGCCTGATCTAGTAATATGGCCGATGCAAGGGTTAAATCAACATAGTATGTGGTGCTGGTCTTGAATTTCTACCCTCTGTGTTAGTTTATTGTGCGTTTAACTACCTAAACCCATCTCTCACCTCTGAATTCATTATAAGCCTGAGGATGTTGACCTCACTGTATGAGAACAGAACATAATCAACACGCTGCCCTCGCTTCTATTGATATAATATAGATAAAGCCTTGCTCTGTATATTTAGCTTCAAAACATGCAACAATTGTGGCATTTATAAAGTACTTTAAATAATGTAATCTTATACTTAACCTTAAGTAGAAACAATGTTTTGAAGGTAATATATGTAAGACATAATTGACATTGGACCATATAATTATTGAAAACTTAATGCATGTAACACAGGCATAATGTGAAGCCTTACATTTTTAATAATGCACCAATCTAGCTTCAATTACTCCACTTATATACCATGATTATGAAGACAAGTTTTGTCTCTAAAATGCTCAAAGTACTTACTTACTTTGCCAATTAACCCTCGACAAGCCTGTGGCATCATTTCAAATGTGTTTGTTTGGAAATTACGTAGCAAAATTATAAGGAATAATTGATGACAGGGCCGTGAAATTGTTGCAAACCAATGCACCCTTAGGTTGCAATGCAGCTATGAAGCATAATTTTGTGGTAATTTTCATTAATTCACAGTAAATGCTACATTAACTGATCTCTGCACACACTGGGAGTTTGGGTTTAAAACGTTTTAGTTTATAAAATGCGTTTGGCAACACAACATGCACCAACAGTCTAATGAGATGCCATAATAAACCTGTTGTCAACAAAACAGAAGCTGCAGTTTTCTGCCAAAATAAAAGCTGGATGTTTTAATGTTTGAAAATGAAGAAATTAAGACAGCCACAAATATTATTGTATTGTAATTTTATAGTTGTATTGAACAATAAAAATAGTATTATTATTATTATATTTCTTACATACTATTTTTTTTATTTTACACTGAAATATTATCATTAATATTTCTTATTTTGTTTATTTATAATAATAATAATAATATTCATTGTCATATCATATAATAACAAAGTTGTTGGCCAAATTGTGCAGCCCTACTAGCACAGCAAACCTGCTGCTTTAACAATTCTATAAATAAAAAACCAAGTAAAATAAATAAATAAATAAATAAATAAATAAATAAATAAATATTTTGCAATAACAATTTTTATCAGAGAAATTAGATTTCACAATTAAATTTTCCCCCCCAAATCATGCAGCTCTAAAAGTACAGTGAGTATCTTGTTTAAAATAGAGTATTACTAGCTTAGAAAGAGCATGGTGAATTGATATGGAAATTATTCAAGCTCTCTAAGACTCAGTCAACCAATCAAAAAACAACAATGCTGTGGTGTAACGCAAAATAACACCCAATAATACCTAGCATGAACAGGTCGGAGAAACCACTTACAGCACAAACAAGTGTGATGAGAATGGACAGCTGTATAACTGATGTGAGGGAAAACAATGAGAATGAAGTCTAGCTACATAAACAAGCGCATGAGTGGCAGGAACTCACTTGTGTGTCAATGATATGGAACATATCTGCTCCGTTACCAGTCAGGCGGTTGGGTATCCTGATGTCCACCGTGGAGCCTGGAAGTCTGCTGGGCCCATTGTTTATCACCTACACAAACAACACACAGGAAACAGATCAATGCTGGGATTTACGCTCAACACAACAACTAACAGCTAATAGAGCAGACAGTACACTTCATATACATTTAAAACACATTATAATGCAGCTTGCTTCTGGATTTGTCAAATGTGACATTTTGAAGTCAGATATTGGTCCTTTTGGCTTCTTTAGCAGGGGGACAGTGAATCTTTGGAAATGTTATTGACTGAAATGCACTATTGGTTGAGAACTGAACTGTGCTGGATGATGGCATCTCTCTGTTTCCTCCAAACCTGCTTTATACATTAATTGAACTCATTCCATAATTGATGAACTTTACACAGTTATTGAATCAAACATGAACTGAATAATAACTGTTGTCATTTTAGAGCTGCTCTGTATTTTATAAAGTGCTATATGAATAAAGGTGACTTGACTTGACACTGAATTATTAAAAAATGTATATAATACATGCATAATGTGAAGCCTTTCAATAATGCAATAATGAAACATTTTCAATAATACTACAATCCAGCATCAATTATTTAGCTTATACCATGATTACTACTTGTTTACATCAAGACATTTCCCAAGTTTTTGTCCCTAAAACAATTCCTAAAAGTCTTTACTTATGCCCCCAATTAAGCCTCAACAAGCCTGTAGTTTTCTGTCATTTAAAGCAGGTTTATTATGGTATAAAAAAATTCTCTACTTGAAATAAAATAAACTTTAACTGAAATAAAGTAATATATAAAAAACTAAAACTTATTTATTCCAACTAGCTGCCAAAGCAACAGTCCTCATTTTCATTTATTTTAACTTTTAAATAAAACTGAAATAAAAATGAGTAAAACCTACATAGGAAAACTATGAAAAATGACAAAAAACACAACAAAATGAAAACAGAATATATATATATATATAAAACCTAATTCAAAATATTAATAAAAACTATAGTAGTATATCAATGACACTAAACAATTAAAATATTAAACACTTTGGAAACAAGTCATCACAAAGCCTGTGAAAAGGGCCCATCATGTAAACGATTATATAAACTATATATTACTTTTTTTTTTACCAAGTAATTGATCCCCTGATATTGCTAGTGCTCATGAATAAATAAATAAATAAGATACCCTGTCAGGGGGTTTAATAACCAGCTAACTCTACTAATTTACAGATTCTGCAATAAAATGTACTGAAAAACATCACATCTGAAGTGCATATGAACATATTGCAGTGCGGGAAACCTGAAAGGTGAAGTTGAGCGGCTGAAAGCTGCATTCCATGTCGTCCAGCTGAAGGAAGCGTGATCGGTCCACTGAGTTCCCATACACAAAAGATGTAGGTGTGACCACACTGTAGAAAAGGACTTACAGTTACTATGGCAACATTTCATTGTGCTATATTGTTCTATCTCTCACTTAACGTGATTCATTTGATGTACAGTATAATATAGAATACATGTGCTGCTGTCAGAATTACTTTATTTTAGTAAAACATTGCAGCTTTTATAGCTCAAACTCTTGGAAACTAGTCCATGTGTCTGTGGAGTGTTGCATAGGTTTGTCTATATGTACGGTGGCCGAGAGAGCTCAACGCGCTGCAACTTAAGAAAACACATGCAAATTGAAAAAACACCAGCAAATTAAGAAAACATCTTCATCAGTTTGACAACACACGCGCTGCAAATCCTCACAACACATGCAAATGAAGAAACGCTGCAAATCCTCACAACACATGCAAATGAAGAAACGCTGCAAATCCTCACAACACATGCAAATGAAGAAACACTGCAAATCCTCACAACACATGCAAATGAGTGACCCTGGACCACAATACCAGTCATAAGTGTCAATTTTTCAAAATTGATTTTTATACATCATCTGAAAGCTGAATACATACATGTATGGTTTGTTATGATAGGACAATATTTGGGCGAGATACAACTATTTGAACATCTGGAATCCGAGGGTGCAAAAAAATCTAAATATTGAGAAAATCATCTTTAAATTTGTCCAAATGAAGTTCTTAGCAATGCATATTACTAATCAAAAACTAAGTTTTGATATAGTTACAGTAGGAACATGATCTTTACTTAATATCCTAATGATTTTTGGCATAAAAGAAAAATCGATAATTTTGACCCATACAATGTATTTTTGGCTATTTCTACAAATATACCCCAGCGACTTAACACTGCTTTTGTGCTCCAGGGTCACAAATGTACTAAATACATTCTTTATATTCACATACTGATTACAGAAACTATCTAATGCGTATGAAGTTAACTTGTTAAATGACATAAAACAGACTTTGATCTGATTTTACATCCAACCCCTGGAGATCATGTTTATATATTAAAGTGTATCCTCTGGCGCGCTCATCTAAAACATTACAGGGAGGACGTTCTCATTATCAGCCTGTACATCTTGCTGTAGAACATGTTGTGTATTTAAGCCTCATTCATCTGCAAAACAAGTGAGCCTGTAACTTTGAAATACTCCAGCGCTGTAAAGAAATTGGTGCCAAAAAAGAAATGTGCACGTAAGCACTGTATACTGAGCGGACCGCAGATGTTTCTGGTGCTATCAGACGTCTGGAAGTGTAATGGGCTGCAAAGCTGTTACAGGAATAGTCCACCAAAAAAATGAAAAGAAAACTCTTTTATTATGTAAAAAACCTGTATGAACTGATTTTCCTATGAAGCACCAAAGATGTTATGCATTCAATGAAAGTGTTTATTTTTGATAATCAGGCTTCAGAAGACTTGAAATATAGTGCACAATCATAAAGACTACTTTTAAGGTCTTTTTTGTAGTTTTGATATTTAAGGTGAATAAATAATGATGAATTAAAATGTTTGGTTGGAGGTTTTCTTTAAGCCGTCTCATGAAGTGTAAATCTTACCCTGTGATTGTTGTGTCCACCTCATGTACCAGCGGTATGGACAACTCCAATGTGTTATCATGAAGTGTGCTATCATGTTCTGGATTGGCACTAAAAAAAAGAAAATATTAATAAATAATAACAAAAACTATTTATTTTGAATTTATTAAGTCATTAGTCATTCATTTATTTAAAGAAGGTTTTCAAATAACATATAAATCACTGAGCAAGGATGCATTAAATTGATCAAAAGTGACAGTTAAGACATTTATAACGTTAAGACATTTTATAAAGATTTCTATTTTGAAATAAATGCTGTTCTTTTGAACTTTCTATTCATCAAAGAATGCTAAAAAAAACATGTCATGGTTTCCACAAAAATATGAAGCAGCACAACTGTTTTCAACACTGATAATAATCAGAAATGTTTCTTGAGCAGCAAATCAGCATATTTGAATGATTTCTGAAGATCATGTGACACTGAAGACTGGAGGAATGATGCTGAAAATACAGCTTTGATCACAGAAATAAATTACATTTTACAATATATTAAAATAGAAAACAGTTATTTGAAATTGTACAAATATTTCACAATATTACTATTTTTTTCTGTATTTTTGATCAAATAAATGCAGCCTTTATCAGCAGAAGAGACTTCTTTCAAAAGCATTTAATAATCTTACTGACCCCACACTTTTGAACAGTAGCATAGGTACTGACATGCCATGTGTCTTTAGCATGGTTGTTCGTACAGTGTAATTGATTAAGTTTATACTGTAAGATGTGCATTATGAGAGCTGCATTTGCCTCACAGAGAGCTAAGAGATCTCTGAGCAAAGAAAACACATCTGGCCAGCATTAGATTAATATCATCATGACTTCAATATCAAGGCAAACCACTTAATTTCTCTCAAAATAGCCAAAAAGGGAAAAGTCCAAATGTCTAATCTATCTAGTTGCTTCATATATAAACAATGACATTCACTAATGTGGACTGATGATGTGAACCATGTGTATTTTAATCATAGAAATAAATCATGTATTTTTAAAGAGGGGAAAGTTCATTAAACCGAGACTGTTCAAAGCTCACCTTCTAGCATGAACTAAAAATAGCAGCGTCTCATTTTCACCAGACAGACGACTCGTGTCGAAAAGCACCGATAGATGGTACTGAAAAAAGAAAAGGTTCAAACTACAAGGTTAAATGGAATTGCACTATAATTAACTAGATCACCAAGTAAATCATTATGCCATTAAATTTACATACTACCTTGGTTTGCGCTCTCATGAAAGGAAATCCAATGCTGCACTTGAGGAAGTCCAGCTCTACCAGCATACAGGAAATGCCCTTCTCTTCCTAGAGCCCAAACAGACAGAGAAAACACCAAATGACAGTGAGAATAACCAGCTGAAACCTTCAAAAGCTGTACTAATTGGTTGAGACCCCAGCAGAAAGTCACCAACCACAGAGCTTTCCTCAAGCTATGCTTAAATCAATACAAAAAAGAAAAAAAAAACATTCAAAAGAAACCCAAGAAATCACGGACTGACATGCAAACATACAGAAGGCACGCAAATGGTTTACTGTTGACAAAAAATAAACTCTTGCAAGCTGGATTCAATATGCATTACAATTATGTTTAGATCTCCAATTTAGATCTCGGTTGGAGTGAAACAAATCCCGTTTTTATTTTTATGTTTAGCTCTTGCTATTTCAGGCAGTGCACACACCTGTTCGGCAAGATTTTAAACAAGTTTGAAATTTGTTGCAGCATCTGCAATCAATTGGAACTGCAAGTGTGCACACTAGCAGAGCATGCTATGGATGGGTAGTGTGCACAAGGCTTTACGTAAAAGTGTTGGGGAAGTATAACATATGCATGGCTAACTTAAGATATCAAAAATAATTAACACACTGGGGAAAATTAAATATGCACTAACTTTTGGAGTTTAAAATGGGGTTTAAAAAAACAATTCATATTCAATAATATTATTGATCTGACAGCACTGACCCTATCAGATGAGAACAAAACTTGAACTAAATTGAGCTGAATAATGACACTATTGTCTTTTGTGGAGCTGTTTTATAGCTGAAACTATATTTGGTTCATAACTGATGAACTAACTGTTTCTGGATTAAACTGAATCAACATTGAATCTGAATTAAACTGAATAACGATGCTATTGTCTTCTGTAGAGCTGAAACTGACTTCATGTCATAACTGATGAACTTTGCGAATTTGTCACTGTTATTGAACTGAACTGAGTCAACATCAAACTAAAGCAAGCAGAATAATGAATAATGACACTATTGTGTTCTGTTAAGCTGCTTTATAGCTGAATTGAAGCATTGACTGTTATTTAACTGAATTGAATCAGTACTGAACTGAGCTGAGCTAAATAATGATGCATTGTACTTCAATAGAGCTGCTTTAGAGATGAATTGAACTAGATCATACAGTAATTGATTAACTTTACAATATAGTTATTTAACTGAACGGTATCAACAATGATTCTGAATTAAGATTAATAAAAATTGAATTTGTTTTATAACTGATGAAGTTCACAACATTTATTCAACTGAATTGAATCAATATCAAACCAAACTGAGCTGAAAAATGACACTTATCTTCTACAGAGCTGCTTGACAGGTGAATTGAACTTTTGATAATTGATGAACTTTGCAGCATCAACACTGTGTTCTATTGAACTGAATTGAAACAACACTGGACTGTTTCTGAATTAAACTGAATCAACATTGAATCTGAACTAAACTGAATAACAATGCTATTGTCTTCTGTAGAGCTGAAACTGACTTCATTTCATAACTGATGAACTTTGCGAATTGTCACTGTTATTGAACTGAACTGAGTCAACATCAAACTAAACCGAGCAGAATAATGAATAATGACACTATTGTGTTCTGTTAAGCTGCTTTATAGCTGAATTGAACTCAGTTCATACAGTAGCTGATGAACTTTGCAGCATTGACTGTTATTTAACTGAATTGAATCAGTACTGAACTGAGCTGAGCTAAATAATGATGCATTGTACTTCAATAGAGCTGCTTTAGAGATGAATTGAACTAGATCATACAGTAATTGATTAACTTTACAATATAGTTATTTAACTGAACGGTATCAACAATGATTCTGAATTAAGATTAATAAAAATTGAATTTGTTTTATAACTGATGAAGTTCACAACATTTATTCAACTGAATTGAATCAATATCAAACCAAACTGAGCTGAAAAATGACACTTATCTTCTACAGAGCTGCTTGACAGGTGAATTGAACTTTTGATAATTGATGAACTTTGCAGCATCAACACTGTGTTCTATTGAACTGAATTGAAACAACACTGAACTAAACTGAGCAGAACAATGACACTATTTTCTTTTGTAGAGATGCTTTTTAGCTGAAATATAATTAGTTTCACACTTGATGAATTCTACAACATAAACACTGCTCTTTTCATGTTTATTAATGAGAAGCTGCTTTGAAACAAACTGTATAGCATGAAGTGCTATATAAATAAATGTGATTTGACTAACACATAAATAACTGTATTCTCACATGCATTGTACACTAGGAGAACAGTAACAGGGACAATCGCCAGTGAGAGTTGAGAGCTTTCTCTAAACACAGCAGAGCAGCACCGGCTGGTTTGAGTAAACAGTTGAGATTCGACCCCGTGCGTGAGGAGTGAGCATTCCTCGAGCGAGAGTTCACCAAGCTGTCCTTTTACAGAGCAGAGAGCCTTCAGGAATCTATCAGGGCCACTGATAAACCCCACGGCCCCACGCTGCTGGAACAATGCAGAGGATGAGCGCTTAACTCTGGGATCTCTAGTTCCATGTCCTGCAGGTCCTGCACGTGTTCCCATTCTTAAGTTTATATTCAAGCTATTCTTAGCAACGTTGCAGCAATAACAAGAACTGCTGCCGGAGAAAATACATCAATAAATAGTCAAAGCAGCTGAGGGGGTGTGGGAAAGCCTGGGACTGTTTGCAAAACTCATTTTTCATGCACTTGGCGGCTCTCTGGGGAAGAGTTTGAGGCTTTGGCCTCACGTTCTGCACTCGTTTGGAGTGTTTATGCGAACGCCCTGGTTTCCCCAGATTTGAGTATTGCTAACGTACAGCAGGGCACCTCGACTGGCGGCACTGCGGAATAAATGTGGCCCGTTAATAATTTCTGAGTTCAAGAGTGCTCTGTGGTCGACAATTTGCGGTCTGCGGTCCATATCCGCACCGGATCATGCATTTTTACACTTTCTGGCTGTAGATCAGCTACCCTATTTCCTCAAAACATGATATTAGGCACAGATATTCAAACATATCTGATATAATTAGATGTACACTACCGTTCAAATGTGGTCTTTTATATATATATATATATATATATATATATATATATATATATTTTTTTTTTTTTTTTTTTTAT